GTCCCTCGGCTCCCTCGGGTCCCTCGGGTCCCTCGGCTCCCTCGGGTCCCTCGGCTCCCTCGGCTCCCTCGGGTCCCTCGGGTCCCTCGGGTCCCTCGAGTCCCTCGGCTCCCTCGGGTCCCTCGGGTCCCTCGGGTCCCTCGGGTCCCTCGGCTCCCTCGGGCCCCTCAAGCCCCTCGGGCCCCTCAGGTCCCTCGGGTCCCTCGGCTCCCTCGGCTCCCTCGGCTCCCTCGGCTCCCTCGGCTCCCTCGGCTCCCTCGGCTCCCTCGGCTCCCTCGGCTCCCTCGGGTCCCTCGGGTCCCTCGGGTCCCTCGAGTCCCTCGGCTCCCTCGGGTCCCTCGGGTCCCTCGGGTCCCTCGGGTCCCTCGGCTCCCTCGGGCCCCTCAAGCCCCTCGGGCCCCTCAGGTCCCTCGGGTCCCTCGGGCTCCCTCGGCTCCCTCGGCTCCCTCGGCTCCCTCGGCTCCCTCGGCTCCCTCGGCTCCCTCGGGTCCCTCGGGTCCCTCGGCTCCCTCGGGTCCCTCGGCTCCCTCGGCTCCATCGGCTCCCTCGACTCCCTCGGGTCCCTCGGGTCCCTCGGGTCCCTCGGCTCCCTCGGCTCCCTCGGCTCCCTCGGCTCCCTCGGCTCCCTCGGGTCCCTCGGGTCCCTCGGGTCCCTCGGCTCCCTCGGGTCCCTCGGGTCCCTCGGCTCCCTCGGGTCGGTCCCTCGGCTCCCTCGGGTCGGTCCCTCGGCTCCCTCGGCTCCCTCGGGTCGGTCCCTCGGCTCCCTCGGGTCCCTCGGGTCCCTCGGGTCCCTCGGGTCCCTCGAGTTCCTCGGCTCCCTCGGCTCCCTCGGCTCCCTCGGGTCCCCTCGGGTCCCTCGGCTCCCTCGGGCCCCTCAAGCCCCTCGGGCCCCTCAGGTCCCTCGGGTCCCTCGGCTCCCTTGGCTCCCTCGGCTCCTTTGGTCCCTCGGCTCCCTCGGCTCCCTCGGCTCCCTCGGGTCCCTCGGCTCCCTCGGCTCCCTCGGGTCCCTCGGCTCCCTCGGCTCCCTCGGGTCCCTCGGCTCCCTCGGCTCCCTCGGGTCCCTCGGCTCCCTCGGCTCCCTCGGCTCCCTCGGGTCCCTCGGGTCCCTCGGGTCCCTCGGCTCCCTCGGCTCCCTCGGGTCCCTCGGCTCCCTCGGCTCCCTCGGTTCCCTCGGCTCCCTCGGGTCCCTCGGCTCCCTCGGCTCCCTCGGCTCCCTCGGCTCCCTCGGGTCCCTCGGCTCCCTCGGCTCCCTCGGTTCCCTCAGCTCCCTCGGGTCCCTCAGCTCCCTCGGCTCCCTCGGGTCCCTCTCCCTCGGCTCCCTCGGTTCCCTCGGCTCCCTCGGGTCCCTCGGCTCCCTCGGCTCCCTCGGGTCCCTCTCCCTCGGGTCCCTCGAATCCTCGGCTCCCTCGGGTCCCTCGGCTCCCTCGGGTCCCTGAGCTCCCAGGCCGCCATGGCTTCCTGGCCAATGGCCGAGCTGACCGAGCCGTAGAAGATGGAGGCCCCCGAGATGATGGACGCCGTGGCGTCCATGCCGGGGCCAATGAGGTCCGGCTGGAATCGCCTGGCACACCCGCTCCGACACGTCTGTCCAAATTGGGTTTCGCGATACTCGATCGTGTGAGATAGTCCTGGGTCGAAACAACCACGCTTACCGCTTAAAGAACAAAAGTCGTCCAGGGAAGGCATTGTCCAGCAAGAAAACAGCCTTCCAGCATGGAAGTTAAGCGGAGCTGGAAGCTTGAAACAAAGCTGGGCTGGCCACATTCCTAGCACCAGTGTCCCAAGCAAAGGAAAGGGAAGGTAGTCCAGCAAGGTCCAGCAAAGGCAAGCAAAAGCTGTCCAACATGTCCAGCAAAGGCATGCCAACAGCCATCCAGAAAAGGAAGGCCGAAGGTCCAGCAAAGGGAAGGCCATCAATCTAAGTAAGGTATTCAAAGGACAATGTCTGCATTATTTTGCTGTTACTGCCGTGTTTTCGTTGTAACTGAACAAGTTTCATGGTAACGCCCCGTTCTCGGCTTCGCACAACAGGCATGCATTTGTTTGATTGACGTGCGAAGTCTCTGACAGTTTCATTCGGTTTGGGGTGCGCAGGTTGGCAGATAGAGCAGAGGCTTTGCTTGATTAAGGCTCCCACAACTTTGACCTGGAAGGATGCTTCCCGTCTGCGATATCCAGCAGCCCAGCAATGGCCTGAAGCTGCAAAGTCCATCCAGCAAAGCACGGCATGGCACGCCTCCTCAGCGTCAGTCCCCTCCATGTCCTCGCACCAGGACCAGACCACATAGATGAAGTACAAGGCCGCCAGGCAGGACACCTAGCGAAGGTGCCCCTGTTAACACAACTAGCATGCAACCTGAAAAGAGCGCATGTGTTGATAGGAACTGCTCTTTGGTTGAACTCCAGGGGGGAGGAAGGGAAGGGAAGGGAAGGGAAGGGCAGAGCCGGGGGCTCCCTCTCTTAGGCACTTGCACCACGCGGCGGGCCAAACATTGTTCGGCGAACTTCGTTGCAACTGCGCGCCAGCTCCCTTTGCATCAAGGTCCCGTGTTAGAAGCACGAGGAGTGTGTATCCACCCAGCAAAAAGGGGATGATCGCACGCCAATGTGGAAAGACACCTGCTCTCATCACGGAACTGAGGAGTGTGATACACGAAGCTTCCATTGCACCGAAGCCGCAGAACAATCCTACTTGTTTGTTAGTTTGCTGGTTCGTTCGTTTGTTTTTCTTCTTTTGCTTGCGCAACACCCCGTCGAGCAGGCGCGCAGAGGCCACAGCGGGGCAGTCAGATCTTGGCTTCTCAACGCCGTGTGCGTTGCGTAGCCAAAAGTGGGGGATGTCGGTGGATGTCTTCACAGTACAGCGAGCCGTGGTCTAGTTCCCAGTGGCAATCTCGGTGTGCGCCCAAGGAGCATACGAACGGCGCCGTCGTTGCCCTCGCGCCGATCCCGTTCAATTAAGTCACTGCAACTTGCAAGCTTGCGTCCAGTTGCCGCTCGCCCGTTCGGTCTTGTCCTTCTCCCTACCGCGTAATACGTCAGCTCAATGACAGCATTGATGTGCGCCTTGCTGAAGTCCTGGGCAAATATGTATCGCAATCAAGTGCACGATCCATGTTGAGCCGACCACCAGCATCACGTAACCATTGAGCGCCTTCGCGTCGTTGCCGTTGACGCAAGCGCTTCTCCGAGTCTTTTTCAATATGCCGGTGGCAATTGAATCCGAACCCAGTGCCGCTGCGTGAGCACCTGCCTTTCCCTCGTGTTCCGCAAGAGCCTTCTGTCAGCCTAGCATTCAAAACCTGTGGGAAGCTCAAACAGGATCGCCGCTTGGATTCGATCAGCGTGTTCTTGACTTCAGCACCGTCAAGGCGTTCCCACAAAAGTATACAAAAGTCACGTTTCTGCTCAGTGATCTTTTGAGCGGGCCCCCTGGTCTTCTTGCGGCGCGCATGAAAATCCGACAAGGTGAAGAACAGCACGTCGCTCGGCTGCTTGACGGCCTTCCTGACCCTCCCCCCGAACTTGGACGTGCCATCTTCCAGCGCGAGTGCGATGACCTGGATAGGCTTCTTTCGCAGCAAAACCGTGAACCAGTTGTGAGGTCCAGAGCAGGCAACAAGAACTGCATTCTGGTGCGGATCCGGGGCAGCAAGACGAAGTTGCGCGCAAGCATCAATACGGAACTGTCCACTGTCCAATCTGTATCCCTCTTTCATCATTGAAGTAGATGACTGTCACCTTGCAGGGCGTGTAACTGCCATTTGGAACCTTGACTTGCGGACTCTCATTGACGCAGCGCATCTGCGACCACAAAGTGTCCTGCACTAGCATATCAAGTGCCCGAGCAACGAGATGCTCATGAACGGAAAGATGGACGCAGACTGGCACTCCCACTCATGGTCAACATCAATTCCAAAGGTGCACAGGGAACGAACGGGGAAAACAAGTGGCAGAGTACTCGCGACACTCCGATCCAGAACGAGCAGTCAGACAATTGGTTCCCTAAGCAATGATATCCAGATGTAGCGCACACAACCAATGGCACGACGACACAATCAACCAAAAGTGCAACCTGACCAGATTCTGTTCATCGACACCTCACAGATATGATACTTACTTTTCATGTGTGAGAGCGGGGTAGGTCAGCCGAAGGCACACCACAGAGTGTCTCTTTTTGCAACAATATGTCGAGTAGAAATAACTATTTGAAAACGCATGGCTACGCTACAGCGTGAAGGCAAAAGAAGTTCGATGTGGGAGGTCAAAAGACATGTGTCTGTTCTGCTTTTGCATTGCAATTGACCCCCCAACAATGAAACGCCGTCTGGCTCAAGCTTTCTTGCATCTATATTCATATGACTCAGCAAAAGGGCGTGCTGAGTGTTCCTATCGGTTCACAAGAAAAGGGGAGGGCGGGGGGAGGGGAGAGGGGGGTAGTCGGGTCGGAGTCCGGAGTCGCGGCTGAGACTTCGGCCACGGCGGCGGTGGCGCTGATGCTCCGCGCCACTCCGCAGGCAAAGGCCTGGCCGCCCCTGGCCTCAGATTTTTTGCAAAAACGCCAAAAAGTTATATATATATATATATCTATACTTTTATATATATATACATTTAAAAAAAATGAAGAAGTTGCCGAGTTCTCGAGTTCTGGGCCTCCGGCCGCTTCCTCCAGCTTCAAGTGCACGCAGGCGTCCTGCACAATGAAGAGATCCACGATGTAGACCTGCGGGACTTCGAGACAGAGCACAGGACTTCATCTTTTAATCAAGCGGACCAAGTCGATGAGGAAGCTGAGCACCAGGTAGTACCAATACAGCCGCACCTCGTGGCATACGTGGCATACGTGAGGCGCAATGTCGCTCCAAGAAGAGGCTCGCGCGTGGGACTCCACGCGGTGGTACACGCCCCAAAGCCCCGCGGCCAAGACGGGCACCCCAAGGAGTGACCTAAGGCGAGCACGCTCGAGGCGAAAACCCACCTAGGCCGCTGGCCAGATTGTCTCAAACATCTGCGAGGTTCCAGGAGCGCCTCAGAGGCAAACGTCGGAAGGAACCCAAAAGCACGACGAGCAGAAGGTGAAACAACCATCTGCAGAAGCAAGAAGCTTCTCGGATCAAGATAGGACAGTTGCATGTCAAATGCGACTGACTCACACCGCAGAGCCATTTCACCCGCCTTGATCATCTCCGATGAGGTTCTCCACTGCAGTGGCCACAGTGTAGAGCACCAATATGAGGTGCGGCCACATCAGCACCTGGTCGAAAACGGGGGGAAATCTGGGGGTGGTTGCTTCTAAGTCAACCCCAAAACGCACAGGAACATCCTGCATTTGGCGCCCAGTATTGACACGCTTGCCTTCACCCCGACGTGCAGGGGCAGGCAACATAGGAAGCTCTCCGTGGGGTTGAGGAGCTTGGGTAGGTCCATGTCCTACATGCAAAGCTTGACTGCTTGACTCACTCAGCCCGTCCAACCTCAGGACCGGCCCTCAAAGTTCACTACCTGAATGGCGCATACCTGGCAAAGGTATACCAACCCACAGGCGCTCTTCGATAAAACCGAGCGCGCCTGGGCACAGCGCCTGCAATCGCCCGGAGCCAGGGCCAGGGCAGGGTGAGGCACGAGCGCAACAACGGCAAAATGGAAAAGAATGGACAAATCACGGAAAAGTAATGCAGTCGAACGCGCACAGCGTCAGCCTTTTCTGCCGCGACACTGCCCTGCGACTGGAAAAGTCGCTGACAGCCAAAACAAGGATGCTTGGCGGCAATTCCCTAAAGACTTGCGCAGGGAGCCACATGAGATGCACAGCTCTGAGGGTCGCCACCGGAGGGGCTGCCCTCGAAAATGCAAAGCAGCCCTCAATTTATCGCATTGCCCCGTTGCCCCGTTGCCTCGTTGCCTCGTTGCCTGGTTGCCTCGTTGCCTGGTTGCCTTAGTTGCCGTTGCCTTGACGTGCATTGAGATGGCATTGAGATGGCCACGTGGCACATGACACTTTGGCCGCATGGTGCGCTTGCAGAATGAGCACCGGAAAACTTCAGCATCGCCCAAGTCGCTCTGCGACATGGCACGACATAGTCCTGTCACACCATCCTCACACTGCAATGGGTTCAGATTTGTCAGTGGTGTTCTTGGTTCTCTGATGTTCAACCTGTGTGTCCTGTGCCAGAGAGCGGCCAGCTTGCAACGGTGCCTTCGAAGCAAGCTGACGCCTCTGTCCAGGGCAGCCTTTAGCTTGGCCCTCTTCAAAAGTGTGACCTCAGTCCGAGCGCGAAGCAACCGCATTCACAGAGCCAGTCCGTGCAATCGAATTGTACAAGCGCAGCTCACCTATGGCCCACTTGCAATCTGCAATCTGCAAGCATCTCATGCTTCTCTGAAACACCCCACCGACTCAGTGGGCCAACGCGAATTGGCATGTCAAGTAGAGAGTTTCAAAAAGCGCCAGATCAGCCCTGTCTGCGGCCTCTCCGGGACTTTCCATCGGAATGGAGTCCCTGGGTCGTTGCCTTTCTTTCCACCTTCATCTCAGTTCCCACCCAGGAGCGCACACTCCGATTCCGGGATTCAATTCCCCGAATGCAAGCTAGAAAAGATTCAGAAGTCACGGCTTTGCCCATGTAGCTTGTCGGCTTTGCTCTGATCCAGCCGTTTTGGTGGGTCAAGCCAGCCACATAGGAACCACTTGAACCACTCATGGACAGGGCATCACTGCTGGTTGCAGTTCACATCGTCGTCATCTTCCAGCCTGAGAAACTGGTACGAATTGGAACTTTTTCAGAAGTCGCTATTTTCCCCTACTGATAGCGTTCCTTGTTTGGAGAACCAGGCGCCATGAAAACCTGTCCGCTCAATGTCTGCCAAGCTGGCGCTTTCTCGACCAGGCCAGGCTGTGCAGGCGCAGAGGACCTGAAGGCTTCCAATCAAACTTGAACTAGAAAAACACCTTTGCGAACGTTTGCGAACGTTTGCGAACGCTTGCGAACGTTTGCGAACGTTTGCGAACGTTTGCGAACGTTTGCGAACGTTTGCGAACGTTTGCGAACGTTTGCGAACGTTTGCGAAACGTTTGCGAACGTTTGCGAAAGTTTGCGAACGTTTGCGAACGTTTGCGAACGTTTGCGAACGTTTGCGAACGTTTGCGAACGTTTGCGAACGTTTGCGAGCGTTTGCGAACGTTTGCGAGCGTTTGCGAGCGTTTGCGAGCGTTTGCGAGCGTTTGCGAGCGTTTGCGAGCGTTTGGAGCGCGAGCGTTTGCGAACGTTTGCGAGCGTTGCGAACGTTTGCGAACGTTTGCGAACGTGTGCGAACGTTTGCGAACGTTTGCGAACGTTTGCGAACTTTGCCGAACGTTTGCGAACGTTTGCGAACGTTGCGAACGAACGTTTGCGAACGTTTGCGAACGTTTGCGAACGTTTGCGAACGTTTGCGAACGTTTGCCGAACGTTGTCGAACGTTTGCGAACGTTTGCGAACGTTTGCGAACGTTTGCGAACGTTTGCGAACGTTTGCGAACGTTTGCGAAACGTTTGCGAACTTTGCGAGTTTTTGCGAACGTTGCGAACGTTTTTTGCGACGTTTCGAACTTTGCGAACGTTTGCGAGGTTTGGCGTTTGCGAACAGTTTGCGTTGCGAACGTTTGCGAACGTTTGCGAACGTTGGCGAACCGTTGGCGACCGTTGGCGAACCGTTGGCGAACCGTTGGCGAACGTTTGCGAACGTTTGCGAACGTTTGCGAACGTTTGCGAACGTTTGCGAACGTTTGCGAACGATTGCGAACGTTTGCGAACGTTTGCGAACGTTTGCGAACGTTTGCGAACGTTTGCGAACGTTTGCGAACGTTTGCTGAACCGTTTGCGAACGTTGCGAAGGTTTGCGTTTGCGAACGTTTCGTTTATGCGAACTTTGCGAACGTTTGCGAAACTTGTTTGCGAACGATGGCGAACCGTTGGCGACCGGGTTGCGAACGTTTGCGAACGTTTGCGAACGATTGCGAACGTTTGCGAACGTTTGCGAACGTTTGCGAACGTTTGCGAACGTTTGCGAACGTTTGCGAACGTTTGCGAAGGTTTGCGTTTGCGAACGTTTGCGTTTATGCGAACGTTGCGAACGTTTGCGAACGTTTGCGAACGTTTGCGAACGTTTGCGAACGTTTGCGAACGTTTGCGAACGTTTGCGAACGTTTGCGAACGTTTGCGAACGTTTGCGAACGTTTGCGAACGTTTGCGAACACGTTTGCGAACACGTTTGCGAACACGTTTGCGAACACGTTTGCGAACACGTTTGCGAACACGTTTGCGAACACGTTTGCGAACACGTTTGCGAACACGTTTGCGAACACGTTTGCGAACGTTTGCGAACGTTTGCGAACGTTTGCGAACGTTTGCGAACGTTTGCGAACATTTGCGAACACGTTTGCGAACACGTTTGCGAACACGTTTGCGAACGTTTGCGAACGTTTGCGAACGTTTGCAAACGTTTGCGAACGTTTGCGAACGTTTGCGAACGTTTGCGAACGTTTGCGAACGTTTGCGAACGTTTGCGAACGTTTGCGAACGTTTGCGAACGTTGTCGAACGTTTGCGAACGTTTGCGAACGTTTGCGAACGTTTGCGAACGTTTGCGAACGTTTGCGAAGCGACTCAAAGCTTCCAAAAACCTTTCAGCGACTGCGAAGCGTTCTTCCAACTTCGGCGAAGGCACGCGCTCACCGGAGATACCGGCCCAGTGCTTGCGGCCTCCGTGCGGTGCGGTCAGGAGCGATTTTCGGTTGCCACCCTGCCTTTGTGCTCGGAGTGGCACCCATTCCAAGGCCCATACCCGGGTTCCCACCCAGGCCCAAGCCCATGCCCAAGCTGCCCAGGCCGCTACCTGGGCCGCTGCCTAGGCCCAGGCCACTGCCCAGGCCGTTGCCCAGGCCGTTGCCTAGGCCGTTGCCTAGGCCGTTGCCCAGGCCATGACCCAGCCCGTTGCGGCCGTTCGGCTCCTTCTCCTCTCTCTTCCGCGCCTGAGCCGCCTGGGCCGCCTGGGCCGCTTTGGCCTGCGCCCGTGCCAGGGCCGCCTGAGCTGCCTGGGCCTGCGCCTTCTCGAGCGCCTTCTCGCGCTCGCGCTGCTCGCGCTGCTCGCGCTGCTCGCGCTCTCTCTCCTTGCGCTTCTTCAGCAACTGCATCTGCTGCATCTGCATCCCCATCATCTGCTGCTGGAACTGCCATGCTAGCGACGCTTGCGCCCCATAAGCGGCCATGTACATTGAGTTGAAGTCTTGGGTCCCGTATGTATCGGGGTCGAAGTAGCCAGCACCTTGGCTCCAAACACGTCTCAAGTCTTGGCTATGCCAATCCTGGACCGCTCCACCAGCCCAGTCACTGGAAGCAGCATCACCATAGCCACCGGCTTGCATCAACTTGCCTGTCAGGCCCAGGCCCGAGCAAATGTAATAGATTCAACTAATATGTGCTACTGAGCTCCTGGCCAACACCCCTGAGCACACAAATGTCAGGTGCATATTGTGTCAGTTGCAACTCCGAGACGCTTGCCACGCATCCGTCCCCTCTGTTTCCTGCACAAGTGCAGCAAGCCTAGCGTTACATTGTCACATCCGCCAATTTCGGTCCTGTGACGCCTCCTCCGGCCTGGGGCGAAGGGGAAAGCGGAAAAGTCCGCAGCGACATCCCCGAGTCTATCGAGGCGGCTGCTTCTCCTTTCCTGTCCGCCGCGAAGACATTGAGGATGCCTTCGCTGCCTCGGGCTCGCGCTCCCATTCTCCCCGCATATTCCTGGCCTTGCAAAATCCAACATGGCCGCGGGTAAACTTGAATCTCCGGGCGTCCCTGCAGCGGCGGCGGCTGCCGCCACCGCCGCAGCCGCTGCTTGCGCCTCTGTGCCTCCCAAACCATCAAAACATGCCATTGGCGTGCAAACAAAAAAGTCCACGTGTTGTTGTTTGCACACAGAGGTGCACAGTCAACTACACACACATGCGCGCGCAAAGTCACTGGGGATACGCGTGTAGTGCCCGCGAGGTATCGACCTTCAAAACAAGCAACTGCTCTGGGCTACCCGTGCCAAATCGATCATCTGCGCAGGTGATAATCTTAGGTCTGTTTCTCATGCTCACAAATACAACGAAAGCTGTGCAAAAATTGCGCACAGCCAACACTGCCTGCCGCGGCCTCTTCAATTGTGTCGCTGGCGCACATAAGCAAATCTTAAGACAGCTCATGGCTTACGATTAGATTGTGAACGCAGAGAACGAGAGAGAGAGAGAGAGAGAGAGAGGGAGAGAGAGAACAGATGAACATCAAACTGTGGATGGCCGGACATGCTACAAGCACGGCGAAGCGGTGCACGCAAAGAAGGGAACACAGCAAACTGCAAGTTCATCAATCACTTCAAAGCCTGCTTGGCCCAGCAATGAACCTAAATAGCCTACATTCACCGACTCACGCTTGTGGCCGCCATTTTGCACCCATCCTGGCCCGTCCCACACGGCCTCCTCTGCTCACTCGGCATCCGCCTGCCTTTAAGATGCGCCGAGCAGTCCTCCACTGCAAGCACGAGCAATTTGTTTCCACCTGTTTGCTGTGAAAGTTTGGCGCCCGTGTCTTGTGAACGCTCGCGGACAACAGGAAGCCTTCCGCTACGCGCTTGGGCAAAAAAATGGTGGATGCCAACTTGTAGTAGTAGCGGATTTTGCGCGAGCCTTGCGCCGGGCGGAACATGCGGTTGAACAAGCCACACGAGAATACCCGAGAAACCAATCCCAAACTCCAAAGCTCAGGGAATCTAACGTATACAACCGGAAAGTAACAAACAATGCCAAAAGGATACTCCGCAACCGGGTCCATGAACCACCCAGAGTTCCCCACGAGTCGGCCACGAGCGACGTCCACACGGCGGTCGCGACGAAATCTGGCCAAGGCACCCAACCATTTGCAGAACAAGTCGAACAAGTGGCTAATCACACCCCCCAAACTTCTTCGACGAGTGGAGCTCACATCCGTCCACCACTAGCTGAACTTGTGCGTCGGATCGGGTAGAGGCATGGGCTACCGCTTCTCAAATCACAACTCTGCCGGTTCCTTCCCTCATACTATTGCACTTGTCACAGCTGAGGGGGGTGCTCGGGCATTACAACACATTACATAGCCCGCCGGGCATCAATTTCCCGCCACCGCCCCGAGTGGCACGTTAAGCCACTTTTTTGGCGCCGGGGATGTAAGAACTACTCGTGGCTGCTAACCGAGCATGGAGAGATTTCCGTCGGCTTTTGGCCTAGTGGCCTCGGGGTACTCCCAGCCAGCGGTCAAACATGCTCTGAGATATCTTCGGCTGCAGCGCGCGCGAAACAGCGCTCCATGTTCGCAAAGAGACTCTCGGAGACGCCGCGCTTGGGCAACACGACGCCACGCCTCAGCGGCAATGGGGAGCACATGCCAAGTAGCATCACCCTCCTTCTCAACCTTCTCTTCCACCCTCAGTCTTCACCTCTTGCTTCACATGTGTTGGCGGCTGTGGGCTTCTTTGCCTCCTGCTTCGGGTCCACCTCCAGAGCCAGGACAAGAACTAGCGGCTCCCGCCGGCGCTTCCTGCGGTTGCCTCCTTAGGCTTAACTAACGCCCTTGTCCCCTCGTCTGCGGCGAGCACCGCTCCTTCATATTTCTGCTTCGGCCAGAGGCTTCGCGGAGTCGCGGAGGCCCGAGATCGTCATCGCTCGTTGTCGTTCTCAGAGTCGCAGTCCGCAGCACTCCCGACACGCATGCCCAGAAGAGTGGCCTGTTCACTCACGTCGCTCCGTGGGTTCAACGTCATTGAACTTGTAGTCAAGGTCGCTAGCACGATGCACTGTGGTTTTGGAGCAAGATACTCCGCAACCAGGTTTCTTCCGCAACGAGGTCAAACTGAGCCAGACAGCAGGTCAGGTGGCTCCCCAACCATTCTATGCTTTCAGAACACCTGGCGCGGCTCATCACGTTAGGGTAATGACAAAGGCGCCGTTGCTCACGCAAGCTGAACCTGGGACAGGACAGGTCCCAAAACTTGAGCCAGCGTTCCGCCAACTGAGGCCTTGTGACGAGCAAAATACATAAGTCCACATCCCACGCTGAGCTCTGGATTGTACCCACTTGTGCACGACGCGTGGTTTCCTGGAGTCGGCACAAGGTGTGGCAGACCCGAACTGGGCGCGACCCAAAAGCAAAACAGCGTGACATGCTCGAACGTCAGCGCTTACCCGCAGTCTCTTCCCACCGTGATCCCTCACAGCACACACTGGGCCTCGTCCTAGCCCAAGGCAAAAAGAGGGCTCACATGGCCAGCACAGCAAAATGCCGCGCGGCTTGGACGCAGCCATTTCCGCGGCTTCTGCCCTGCTTCTGCCCTGCTTCTTGGTGCTTGGTCTGGGTTGTCATGTGCAATTCGTTTGGCTTGTCTTTGGCTCTGCCTTAGTTTGAATCTTGACACGGCAATCCGTGACAATTGAAGTGTCGCAACACGATCTCTTCCTGCTGCCCCGTATCCCGTCCTAGTGTTTACTGTCGACTCCTCGCGATCCTGGTGCGATAAAACAAGACTGCCTACGTGACACAAGCCATGTGCTACGTGCGTGCACTTGACAACTTGAGCCTCCTCCCACTTTGGTCTGTAGAGTTGGAAGTCCTCACAGCCGAAATCGGTTGAGGTTGCCCACCAAGGTCCCACCCGGCCAAGCCTCGCCACCTTCCCTGGCACGTTCCAAGTTCCCAATTGATGGTGTCCAAGCCAACCCTCAACCCTAAACCGACCCCAAACCTACCTAAACCAACCCGAAACGTGCCAGGTACTGGCAGAGTGCTTAGGGAGCTTGTTTCCTTGACATGGAGGGCTTGTTTAGGGTTGTTTTAGGCTGGTTCAGGGTTGGTTTGGGGTTGGTGCAAAGTTTGCTCAGGGTGGATATAACAGTCATACGTGTTCTGCTTTGACTTTGCTTCCTTGCTTGCCTTCTGAGGCGGTCTGCTTGATTGCTTGCTTGCTGGATTGCTTGCTGCACCACAAAAAGAGGATGCGAATTCGGCGGGCAAACAAATGAAAACAGAAAAGCTCAGCTTTGCACATGCTTTGCACATGTCAGCGGCTCTCGACAAGCGAGCAGCGAGCACCCCGTGAAGTCTGAAGGGACGTCCAGAAGCTCGGACCAATGTTCCTGGCGGATGCAACGGCAAGGGCTCAAAAGGCTCAGGCACTGCGGCACTGCGGCACTGCGGCACTGCGGCACTGCGGCACTGCGGCACTGCGGCACTGCGGCACTGCGCCTTCGTCTCATCTGTCATGATGATCTCCATAGCTCGACGGTAGTCCTGAGAGCTTGAATTGTCCAAAGTTCTCTGGTGCTCTGAGTGCTTTCAAAGCTTTGTGGCAACGCTTAAGTCACGAGTCCTCGGAGTCCCGGTCAATTTGTCCTGCGGCCTGTCCAATGCAGACATGAATTCTCGCCTGCTCACACAAATGTGCTGCTTGACACGAAAGGCAGCCCCAAGACTCGCTTCAAGAAACCGGAGCGTCTTTTCTCACTCTGGCGCTTCTGAGAGATCTGTCTCTGAGCTGGTCCGAAGTCGCCTGCCCCGCAGACATATCAAGGTTGCAAACGCCAGGCTGGGGCCCTGACGACGAGGAGACACGGGTGCCCTCCAGACCTGCGAGCCGAAGAGCCGAAGAGCCGAAGAGCGGGGCGAAACCATCCGTCCCGCCTTCCTGGAGCAAACCGTGGATGCGTCGGTAGGAAAGGTACCGCTTCCGCGATATGCGGCCCTCCTTCCACGGCGCGAAAAACAGTTGCACTCCGCTCACGCCCTATGGAATCTTGCCACCTCAACACATGAGCACGCAATACTTCTCCCAAGTAGACATTCAAGAATTAGTAGCCTTCCTGGTTTTCGGACTGCAACGCCGTCACCTCTTCCAAATCAAACACAGACTGCCAAACTCTTGACGGGAACGTTACTGCTAGCCCATCCATTCAGTCCATCCGCTCCTCCACAGCTTCCTTCACCGCGCAGCTTGGCTCCTCGTGGCTTGGAGCTCACGCAAAGCCGCCTCCCCGCACCCGGCCTCCAGATGTCGGCAATCTGCAAACTTGCACTCACGAGCCAGGGGCAGAAACTCCACGAAGTGGTCCTTCGGCAACGTGAACAAACGGAAAGGACTGATGGCTTCATTTGTGAGGAAACAGCACTCATTCGCCGTGTTAATTCAGCCAGGAACATGAAGGATTCTTGGCCCATATTGAACCACTCAAAGCGGCAAAGGAGAGTCCCCCTTTCCCTTTGTGACATTGAGGCAGATCTCGCCCCTAAATTGAAGCTCTGTGGCGCAAACGTCAGGCGTCCTTGAGCTCCTCTGGCTGCACGTCCCACAACCCGAATCGCCGCGCGCCTGCAGCGTCAGCGCTAAACTGGTTCCAGTGGAAGCAGAAGGTCAAAAGGTCCTGGGGAGTCGATCAGGTATGCCTCCTCCATCCCAGGCAAGCGATGCCTCTGCCGAAGCGCAAGCTCTCGGGAAGGAACTCTCGCCCAAGGCACTGGCAGCGTAGTGGTGGTCGTGACATGTTTCCCCAGTTTCAGCCTTGGACGGATGGAACCATTCGGTTCTTCACTGTGTTTCCCAAAAGGTGCTGGCTTAAAAACAATCCCACGACTGGACTGAGGCATTGGCTTCGCGCTGATGCTGCCCACCGCGGCGGAGATCTGGCCCTGACATACCCAAAACACGACGACTCGTCTGGGCCAACCGGCCACCTGGTTTTAGCAGTCTCAACTGAAAATGTCTCAAATCGCTGCCTCACCCAGCTCGTTCAGCAGATGTGACTTGCCCACCCCGCTGTTGCCCAGGAGGATGCTGGTGCCTACTTAACCGAATACAAACCGATTCGCCCCGGTGCCCCGGTGCGTGCTTATGGTTTACAGTCTGCTTGAAGTGAGTCTGCTCAAGTGACTTGCTTCCGGTGCGAAACGCTGTCTGAGCCGCGCACGGTGTGCCAGGAGCTGCTTGAGGTCCTCCAAGCCGTCGCCGTTCAGAGCACTCACGAAGACCACCCGATAGCCAATCCGCTCGTAAACGAACAGGCGCTGCTCCACCTGACACCCCCCATAGCTTTCCATTGTGACAATGACAGAGACTTGAGATTGGGCAGTGAATCGCCAGGACCTTGCGCCGCTCGGCACCGTCAAGGAGATCCACCTGACCGGATGACTGGACCGAAAGAACCCAAGAGTTAGAGACCCACTCGACGGAAACTCTATCGGCCTTGTTGAGCACCAGTGCTGCGTCCAGGCCTTGAGCATGCGCGCTGACCAGCACCCGGTCCACCATGCCCTTTCGAATCAAACTGAGTCCCGCGAGTTGGGGACTCGCGAACTCGCGAACGCGCGAACTCGCGGCCTCGGAGAAGTTGGGCTCCACGCTGACCACCACCACGGCCAAGTCCAGGTTGGCACACAGCAGCTGCGGCTTTGGCGAAACCGAGGCATGCCTGCGGCTTCTAGAAATACTTGTCCTTGCAGGTACCGTTTGGGGCGCCGGCTTGATCAAGGAGGTCTTGCGAGGCAGCACCTGAGGCAAGACTAGTGGGCCGGCGCACAGCGTGCGTAATCGCCGATTTGTGCCACGCGCCCGCCCGTGTCGGCCTCTTCCACCACAGCCTCACAAATCCAGCAACCGCTTCATGGAAGTCTCCAGAACCCTATCCAACGCCTCCGGGCAGAGCCTAATGCCTGACATCCCTCTCCAAGTCTTATCTCAGACACCGGGCCACAGCATCTGCGGCAGCGGAGGTCCAGAGGATCTGCACTCGGTCCCCTACCACCGGCTCCAAGTTTGGCCTACAGCTCGACGAAACGCGAACCAAAAATCTTTAAAAACGCTGAGGTTCGCAAAGGTCTCGCAAAGGTCTCGAGGTCTCGCACAGCCCAAGCCCTCGTGACCCGCGAGCCCTGGGTCAGCCCTGCCCGAGAGCCCCGCGCGCGCCGGCCCTTGAGGATCTGGCAGATGGTGGCCTCTCGATCCTCCACTTTCACGAGCACCTGCCTCGGGGCCAAGACTTGCGTCACTCCGTCGCGTCATGCTGGGTCCGCGGCCCATGCCTTTCAGCTCCACCGACCACGCGGCCCGTGGAACGGCCAAAGCTCGGAGCCTCGAGTCGCTTGCCCTTCCCAATGACATTTAATGAGTGCGACTTGCCCTCCCCAAGCCTCAACTGGCCAGTCGCTCTTGCCCTCCGCGCGGCGCCGCTCTCTCCGCTCCTTCCTCCCAATATTTTTGCGTCCTAGGACTCGAGGGGCTCAAAGGCACACACACACACAGACGCATACAAACGCATACGGACACACGGCACAGGCACGCACACGCATATGAGCGCCCGTCTGGTTGCCATCGCCCTGACAGGGAACATTCATTGGTCATTGCCCCACTGGCCTTCCCCTCACTGGCCAGGCGAGCCCCATTCCCATTCAATTCGCCTGGCTTTGATGTCGGCCAGAGAGGGCTTCCTCGCTGCCAGCGCCAGAAGCGACAGAGCCACGGCTGGGGAATTCCAGCGCAGCCATTGGCCTAGCTTCAACACAAAGCAACGGGAAAGAGGGGAAGGCAGCGGGGAAACTTCCAAGAGAACCAAAATGAAGGAGGCCGCCATAAGCATTCATCCTTCCCTGCCTGCAAATGAATCTGACGCTGTGGGCTGCGCAAGCCGCACAGGCATAGGCTGCATAGGCCGCAGTGGGTGCACACTTGCGTCCAAGTGCAGAGCCCGGATCACCGGCTGCATGGCACCAAGCTAAAAAAGCAGGAACTACGAAAGCTGAAAACTTCAACAGCTAGCAAGAAGAATGGCATGAGGTTCAAAAGAATGTTGGGAAGCTATGAGTCTGACCCTCGAGCCATGCGGCTCCGCGTCCCATACCCCAGACCCACGGGACCGGATCGACCGGATCGACCGGATCGACCGGATCGACGGCGCTCGGGCGCAGCGCGGCGCTCGGCGGCGCGGCCTCCATCCACGTCCAGGTGGCCTTGGGGACCACGTCGTCACGGCGGGAGATCCGGACGGAGCAGCCTGGCCGAAGGGAGCGAAGGCGCTGGAGGGAAGGCGCGGGGGCGAAGGCGGGCGAGCCGAAGGGAGGCCGCCTAAATCTGTCGTCCGGAATTTCTTGGGCGCACACTTCGAAACCTTAGGTGGCAGGATCCTGGGTTAGAACATGGCAAGTGATACGTTCGATGCCTCAGGTGCGCACAGGCAAGTCATGCATGACGTGCACCACAGCTGCAGCCCGGCAGGGCCAGTTCTTCATCGCTGCTGCCTGTGATCGGGTCTAGGGGACTTGATGGAACACTAGCCCTTTCAGCCTGTAGGCAGTAGAGCCTTCTGTTGTCAAATGTGAACCAGCAAGGCTCTCCTGATGGCAAACAGTCTCCAACTCGCAAACTAGTGTGGAGCTCTCCTAGAATGGTCTTGCCATTCTCATCCAGGAGTGTTTCACCATCCTGCCCCCAGCCCCGGAAAGAGCATCCATCTCACTCACTCCACCTCCTCGCGGAGCTTTGGCCACCACCGGATAATCTCAATCGGAGGGAAAGGCGCCCTGAGCCGCAACAATTTGGTGTCAGCTGTCACAGGCTGTCACTGTCAGCATCTGTCAGCTTCCGAACTTCCGCCTCAGGAGCATGTCGTACCTGTCCTTCAAAGGACCAACTGGGCATTCGACTGCCTCGGTGACTGCCAGAGGCTTGGCGCGATTCATCGGCCGAGCACCTCCACTTCCTCCATGGAGGCTTCGACATCTCGGCCATCCTGCGAATTCAACTCGAGGAACCGGCGCTGAAGCCTGGGATGCCTGGGCTCGCCTGGAACGTGGGCCGTATCCGAGCTTGGGAGAAGCGGATGGAGAAGGGGCAAATAAACTTCTCCTGTCGCAAGAACTGCCTCAGCAAACATGCTTAACAGGCTTAAGATGCTTACCATGCTTAACATGCTGAACATGCTTGACTCAACTCCTCATAGAGCGGCATCGCGTCTGGCAAGGCCCGACTGCAACTCCTTGGGAGTTCAGTGCTCAGCCTCGCGCCCTCGCTTGGGCTCAGGCGCTTGCCGTGAAGCAAGGGACGAGGCTGGATCGAGCTACGCAGGGATGTCCGGAACGGAACGGAGTGCTTGTCTGCTGATAGGTACTGTGCCAAATGTGGTGAGCCTCAAAGGCTGCAGACATGAATTCCAATCCGAAATCCATATCAAGTACCGCAAAGTCTCAAGATGACACCCTTCTACCCTTCGCGTGCAAAAGCGATCTCTTTGCGGAGCCCCTTCGGGGTGACTCGCGCGCTGAAACATTGCTCAGCGATCTACTTCTTCAAGGCAACACTGTTCTGGATGGACTGGATCCTGCGCGTTGCGTTCTCACTGCGCCGACTGCGCAGGCACGCGTCATGCGTCCTTTCGCGGATGACGTCTTGGCTGGCCAGGTCAGATGTGATCAGAGCCTGGAAGGTTCGAACGGCGCCCGATGCAACCATGGTTGAGGCTCTGGCTTCGTAGGTTTTGCCCCAGCCCGCAACCTTCAATCTCTCACACGTCCTCCTCATGTCCAAAGCTCGTTCCGGGCGTAATTCAAAGCAATTAAGTCTCTGAGTTGTTTGCTTTCCGACTGTGAGAATATGCGCTTGCCAAGCTGGTCCTGCTCAGGCAGAGCACGGTCAGCATCTTGATCACCTGGAAGGCTCAGGACTCATCTCAGCTGCCCGCAGGTGAGGCTCGCACATTTGAAGCAAAGTCTTGGTGCTCCAGGTTGTCCTGTCAAACAGGGCCGTAGGCTTTAAATAAGCTTGGCGCCGTGCCTTGCGAGCTAGGGCTTCCACCAGCTTGGCCAACACGGGGCTGTCGCACACCTCCGACACCGCCCGAGACTGGAGGGAGTGTCTTAGAATTGTCTGCTTGTCTGCTTCCGCCTCGTCACGATGCTTCTCCCGCGAACACAAATTCTGCATGGCGGGCAGCGCTTTGCTCAGGACCCTGATGCTCCGCTCCGGAAGGCCTCAGCTTCTCAGCTTCTCAGCTTCTCAGCTTCCCATGTTGCGTCGCGCCTGCCTCCAGGCGGAAGCACGGCAGCCATGATCTTCAGCAGGTACTTGTTCACCTGACGGAGCCAAAGAGGTACCGGGAACCTACGCCTTGGCAAGGTCAGCCCGCTTTGGCGATTTGTGCCGCCTTGTTCTCAGAGGCCAGCTTTAGCGGCCCCTCCTCCGTGCAGCAGTGCCCAATGACGGTACAGACTTCTGCGATGACGCGCCACCTGAAGCTTGGAGCTGTAAACGCGTTCCCAAAAACTGACTCCGTACGTGTTTCACTCCACGAATTTGTCATTTTGGATCTAGTCTCGAGTCCAGCCTGGAATCTACCTGCTCGTATATGTTCTGCAGCACATCGCAGCAAAGCTGCAGAATGCCTGGCAGGAGCAATTGCGTTTCGACAGTGTTCTCGCTGCTCCAGGCGCACCGAATTTCTCCAGCGCGGCTCTGTGGTTGGATCTCCTCGTCAGCTGCACCTGGCAAATGTCAAAACACCAACAAACCAGGAACAATCTCCCGCCAGCAGCATGAAGGAGTACAGCATCAGCTCCGTGTCTTTGCTCCTTCCCAAAACGTACACTGTTCATGTCTCCATCTGATGCATCTGTTGGCGCCTGATGTTGCGCTTGCACGTGGGGATGACCTCGTTGTGGATAAGATGGCTCCTGACCACCTGGCTCGGTTGGACCCAGTAAACAAACAACTGCCATGGACTTGGCTTTTCGGAGACAAACAGTGACAAATTGCGCAATGCATGAACCGTGGTTCGCGCCTCTTGGCTTTGGCACAGATTCACCATGGCCGCGGATGCGTACGTCATGAGGAAGCTCGAGCCGTTCTCCATGAGCTGCATGAGGCCGCTGGCCAGCACTGCGGACTGGCCCTTCACGCCCACATCCTTTCACACCGTGAAGTTCCCGACGATGCGGAGTCCGCGATTCCTCCTGCCCCGCCTTGTCCGCAATGATGAGTCGGCACACGCAGGCCTTCAGGTTTGTGGAGGACGCGTCGCAGGACAGCAAGTTCCTGGCACAGCAGGCGCGCCGTCAAAAACGGGCAAGAAACGGGCGGCAAGCAAGGCCAAGCTGGCGCGAGCAGGTACGAGTACTCCATGCTCATGCATCCCTTACCTGGCTTCGATGGATATGTTTCCCCAACCAATGCCAGAATGCATATGTTGCCTGCATCCTCATCCTCCAGCTCTGTCCTCATGTACCCCGACTCCAGCAAGACCTTGCGTGCGGCAAGGGCATGCCTTCACATGCAACCAACCCAACCAGCACAACCAGCACAACCAGCATGCCTGCATAACATTGTCGTGGAACATGCACTGGACCTGAACGCACGCCATGAGAGCTCTGTGACGCCCACTGTTCTGAGGGAGCAACACCCTGAGGGCCGTCCTCTGTGCCTTGGAATGGGAATAGGAACGGGCTCCGACGAGCCCCTTTTTCTGAGGCAGGCACGGACGTGCTTGCTCAGCCTTCCACTGGCACTCTCAAAAATATGTCCAGGAGGGTTCTTTGTGCGCTTGCGCGCTTGCGTTTGTCCATGTGTTGGGCACGTGTGCCTGTGTTTGTCTATATGTAATTTTATGCGTGTCTGCAACAGATGCATCTGTGCGCTTGTCCGTTTGTGTGTCTCTCTGTCCGTTTGTGCGCTTATGATAGGCCTGTGTCCTAGCGTTTATGTTCGTGAGCTTGTGTGCTTCTCTGCGCTTGCGTGTTTCAGCGTCTGTGTGTCTGTGCCTTTGTGAGTTCGTGTGCTTCTGCAATTGTGTTTTTGTGCGTTTGTGCGTCTATGCGCTTGTGCGTGTGTGTATGTGTGTTTGCTTGTCCTGGTGTTTCTGTATTTATGCGCTTGCGCTCCTGCGTTTTTTTGTGGGGCGCTTGTGCGCTTGTGTGTTTGTGGTTGTGAGAGTGTATGTGTTTGTGCGTTTGTGAGTTTGTGCGTTCCTGCAAATGTGTGCGTTTGCGCGCTTTTAAGAATTGTGCGCTCGTGCGCTTGTGTGTTTGCGATGGTGTTTGTGTTTCTGCGCGTTTGTCCGCGTGTGTGTGTGTGTGTGCGCTGCTTTGCGTTCGTGCGTTTGTTTGTGCGTGTCTTTGTGTGTTGGTGCGCTTGTGCGAGTGTTTGGTAAGTTTGCGTGTTTGTGCTTGCGACAGTGTCTGCGCGCGCTTGCGCGACTGCGCGTCTGTGTGTCTATGTTTGCGTTTGGTTGCTTGTTGCGCGCTTGGGAGCGGTTGTGTTTGGGATGGCGCTTCTTGCATGTGTGTGTGTGTGTGTTCGTTTGTGTGTGTTGCGTGGTTGCGCGCTTGTATGATCGCAATGCTGTTTGTGCGCTTGCATTGCGCGCGTCTGCGCTTGTGCTTGTTTGTGCGTTTGCGCATGCGTGCGTCCGTGTGAGTTTGCGTATTTGTGACGGTGCTTGCGTGTTTGCACACTGTGCCTGCGTTTGTCTTTGCATTTGCGCGCTTGTGTCAGCGGCGGCGCGTGTGCTTGCACGTGCGTGCGCCTGCGCTTGCGCGCTGGAGTTTGCGATGGTTTCTGCGCGCTTGTGCGCTTGGGCGCCTTTGTGTTTGTGTGTTTTGCGTTCGTGCGGTTGCGCGAGTGCGTGTTTGTGTTTGTGCATGCTTGTGCGCGCGCGTATGTGTTTTGTGAATGTACGTCTATGCGTTTGTGAGGTTGTGCGCTCAGGTGTGTGGGATGGTGTTTGTGAGCCTGCGCGTTTGTGCGTTTATGTGTGTATCGCTCGTTTGTGCTTGTGTGTTCGTGTGTTTGCATGTGTGCGAGTGTGTTTGTGTAGGTGTGTTGGTGCGTTGTGCGTTTGTGTGTTCGTGCGTTTGTGCATTTGTGTGTTTGCGTGTGTCTCTGGGTTTGCGTGTGTGTGTGTGTGTGCGCGTGCGTGTTTGCGTGCGCGTGTGCGCTTGTTTGCTTGCGCGTCTTTGCGCTTGTGCGCCTGTGCGTGTGTACTTTTTGCGTTTGCTGCGCGATTGTGTTTGTGTTTGTTTCTGCGCTTGCCTTTGTGTTTGCGCATTGCGTGTGCGTTGCGCATGTGTGACTGCGCGTGCTTGAGTGCGCGCGCTTGTCTGTGCTTGTGTTTCCGTTTGCGCGTTTGTGTGTTGCGCGCTTGTGCTGTTGCATGTTTGCGCTTGTTTGGTTGTATGTTTGTCTGTTTGCGGTTGCGCGCGTGCGCCCGCCAGCATTGGCGCTTGTGTTGCTGTGTTTGTGCGTTTGCGCGTTTGTTCTTGTATCTTTGTGACTTTGTGCGTTTGCGTTCTTGCGCGCGCTTGTACGTTTGTGCGTGCGTTTGCGCATTTGTGTTTGCGCGCTCGTGAGTTTGTATGTTTGAACGTTTCTGTGTTGATGCGCTTGCACGTGTGCGCTTGCGCGTTTGTAAGTTTGTGCAGTTGCGTGCGCTTGTGACGCTTGTCTGTGCGTTTGTGTGCTTCTGTGGTTGTGTGTGTTTGCGCGTGTGTGCGCCTGCGCTTGCTCGCTAGAGTTTGCGTGTTTGTGTCCTTGGCCGCCTTTGCGTTTGTGTTTGCATTCGTGCGGTTGCGCGTTTGCGTGTTTGTGTTTGCGCGTGCTTGTGTGTGTGCGTGCGAATGTGTTTTTGTGCTGTGTGTCTGTGCGTTTGTGAGGTTGTGCGCTCGGGTGCTTGGGGTGGTGTTTGTGGGCTTGCGTGTTCGTGTGTGTGCTCGTTTGTCTTTTTGTGTTTGTGTGCTTGCGTGTGTGTGTGTGTGTGTGCGCGTGTTTGTGTGGATGTGTTTGTGTGTTTGTGCGCTTGTGTGCGTGTGGGTTCGTGCGTTTGTGCGCTTGTGTGTTTGCGTGTGTCTCTGGGTTTGCGTGCGCCTGTGTGCGTGTCTGCTTGCGCATCTGTGCGCTTGTGCGCTTGTGTGTTTGTACGTTTGCACATTGCGTGTTTGTATTTGCGTTTATTCTGCACTTGCCTTCGTGTTTGCGCATTGTGTGCGTGTTGCGCATTGTGAGTGTGTGTGTGTGTGTGTGTGCGTGAGTGTGTGCTTGTCTGTGTTTGTGCTTCTGTTTGTGCGTTCGTTTGTTGCGCGCTTGTGCTATTGCATGTTTGTGTTTGCTCGATTGCATGTTTGTCTGTTTGCGGTTTTGCGCGTGCGCCCGCCAGCATTGGCGTTTGTGTTGCTGTGTTTGTGCGTTTGCGCGTTTGCGCTTGTATCTTTGTGACTTTGTGCGCTTGTATGTTTGTGTGCTCGTTTGCGCATTTGTGTCTGTGCGGCCGTGGGGTTGTTTGTTTGAACGTTGCTGTGTTGACTCGCTAGCACGTGTGCGCTTGCGCGTTTGTAAGTTTGTGCTTTTGCGTGCGCTTGTGACGCTTGTCTGTGCGTTTGTGCGCTTGCGCCATTGTGCGTTTGCGCGAATCTATATTTTTGTGCCTGTGTCTGCGTGCGCGCGCGTTTGTGTTTGTGGTTGTGTGTCTTGCGTTTGTGTGTTTGTGTATTTTGCGTTTGTATGTTTGTCCTCTTGTGAGTTTGCGCGCTTGCATTTTCGGGTTTGTGTTGTTGCGTGCTTCTGCGCTTGTGTTTGTAATGTGCGCTTGCGTGCTTGTATGTTTGCGCGGTTGAGGTTTGCACCTGTGTGCGTTTGTGTGTTTGTGCGTTCGCGGCTCTGCGCGCCTGTGCGCTTGTGCGTTTGCATGTTGGCGCGCGCGCGCGTGTGGGTTTTCGCGCGGGTGTGTCCGGGGCGCGTCGTATCGGCGCAACCTTCTGATGGCAAAGAGAACCTACAAAAAGCAACCTGTGACACAGCCAGGGGGGGAGCGCCTTGGCGTCGGAGACCGTTGTTTGAGCTGCAAAACCATTGAGACTGACAGTGAAAGAATATACTCCGCAAACGCAACCCTTGGCACAGCAGGGGGGCAGAGGAGGCCCATAGAGCGCTGCCCAACGAAGCTCTCTATGGTGACCTCAGGATGCTTGGTCTCACCCAGTGTACCTGCCGTGCCAGTGTCGAATTTCGAACTTGCTAATCCTGCGGGTGGATCGTTCAAGTGTGGGTTCAAGTGTCGGTGTGTGTGTGTGTGTGCTCGTGTGTGCCTCTGCGTGTTTGCGTTTTGGTGTCATTGGCCCTGGATTCATCTGTGATTCTAGAGACGATACTCTGCTGTGACATTCTGTCTGGATTTAAGTCCTAATCCATTTGCGCATGCATCCAGTGACATTTCGGCTACCTTGTTTGCTGTGTACAGTCACTTTGATGACGCCCCTTCTGCAGCGACAACATTGTTCACAAGATGCAATAAGTGAGTCGAGTGTGGATCCATCACCTCTATTGATCCAAGGGGTGTGTGCGGAATATTCAGCTGCGTTCTATATATATATATATATTATTGACAGACCATGGCATGGCTGTGACACACGTGTACTTTGTTTTGGTGATTAGAGAGTTGATTAGTATCTGACTCTTGCTGCTTGGTTTGTTTCTGTGCCTGTGTGTTTGTTGTGCTTGCGCTGTGTCTGACACGCTCTAGGTGGCAGGCAAGCCAAGCCCCAGCATCTGGCTCGTGATGACCTGTGACACTCGGCCCTGTCCAAGCCCCAAGTGCTGCATACCCCACCTTTAGCTCCCAAGGCAAACGAAGGTCCACCGACCGCAGGTGCAGCAACGAGGCCCTGAGCCCAAATGCAATCCCCTGAAGCATAGCCAAGCTCCGAGGCGCACAAAATGTTCTCGAAGACCCTGGCAGTCTCCTCAGATAGCCACAGATCTAAGCACTCTGCGGCAACTTGCACACTCTGGCACACGCCTGCGGAACATGGCCATTGTGCACACCCTGAACCAGGTGACCCAAGGTCATCTTGGGGCCTCGAACATCAACAGAACGCTGATGTCTTGTGCATCTGCCAATCGAGCGCCCGGCCAAGTATGCCGCCATCTAGCTGGTGGGCTAGATAGCGCGCCACGCGTTCTTGCCAGGCGTGTAGGCCTAGGGTGAGGAACGCAATGACTGGACAATGTTCAATGCTCTCTCCAACTTTCTGTGCTGAGGGCTCTGTGCCACGTTCTTTTTCGTGTCTCAACGCCGCTATCTCCGAAGGAAGCCTTGCCATGCCTTGCGTCATATCTCACTTGGCCCAGTCCATGTTGCTCTTGATGATGCCGCGCTCCTTGCTGACATTTGTGGCACGGCAATAAGTGGTTGGCACGCCCACTGGCGTCATCGGGATGGGCAGGCCGCCGGCCATCGCTTGGACGGTGGAAGGGTCCACGCCGTTGGCGATCGCGGCGATGAGGTCAGCCCCGGAGTGGACAATGTACGGTCGCTCAAAAAGCACCTCCTTCACGCTGATGTGCCAATCTCCCATTCCTCCTCCAGGACTGGGGAAGCCCAAAGATGCCGTAGCAGCCATCAGTGACACATGTGACACACCCGGAAGCACGACCTGGCCCATGACGCGGTGGTCCGTGTACATCCTGAGATGGCCACAAGGTGTTGCTTGTGTAGTTATTTCATAGGTTTGCAAGTCATTGTTTCTGCAAGTGTCGCACAAGTGCGACTTGTGCGTGTGCAGTCAATACAGCCTGGGAAATGCTGAGGTCCTGGCCTCATAGACGTTGGAGTGATAAGGGCTTCCGCGAGCAGGCCACCCTCGCCGGGGCCAACGACCCCAACCAACGCATGGTAGATCTTGCGCCACTCGAAGGACTTCGCACCATCCTTGCTCCAGGTGAACTTTTGGGTCTTCATCACGCCAGATTCTGCGGCAGCCTTCTCCATGCCCCCTCGTGTGGATGCCTGGAACAAGACTTTTTGTACAAGTGACATGGGGGCAATACCGCAAAGCAAACAAAGGGGAAGACAGGCATCGGCTTGCATTGCATCCCCGCCTTTGTCATGCGCTGCTCAGCTTGCTGGCGCCACTGCGCGCGGTGGGCCTCGCGATTCTCCAAGGCATACCTCCGCTTGGCGTTCACATAGTCTCCACCCGTCAGGAGGCACACCTGGCCGTTCTTGATGTGCAAGTCCCGGTCATTCAAAGCATCGGATGCACCAAGGCCGAGCAGGTCCCAGGCATCCTCCGGCAACGTGGTACTGGCAGACGTCCCTTCTGGAATGCCACTGTTGAGCACCTAAGCCGCGAGTGGACTGGACCTATCCGACTTGAACGGATTTCTCTGAACTCAGGCAAGCACAGCATCGGGAAGAGCTGGGAGACTCATCTTGATCGAGATGCTCCGGCGTTTTTGAGCCGTCTCGGTCTCGATTAAGAACATCAATGCAAGTCATGTACCGCATGATACCTCATGCAGCAATCATGCAGGAGGGAGGACTCCGTTCAGTCAAACAGACCTGCAAACACTGCATGTGATGCTTGTGCATGTTTGCCTGTGCTTTTCTGCTTGCATCGTGACTGTGCCACGCAGTGGGTGCACGCATTTCAGGTCCCGGGCACTCGACATTCGAGGTATTCCTGGAAGAAACATCACTGCCACAGATCGGTCACGCTGACACAAATCCTCGGGATGCCCTCACCGGGATGACTCAGAATCTTGAAGACTTGCAGAGGGTCCAGGTCCTGGGAAGCTTCGGAAGCGAAAGCTTCGCAAGCCCCGCGCGCGTCCGTGGGATCACTAAGCGCCGAACCACCTCGGCGCGGCTGTCACAGACCTCTGATGTTTTCTTCTCGATCTCCTGGCTTGCCATTCCGGCTGTTTGGGCTCTCTTACAAACATTGACTCTGCAATCTAAAGCACATATATACAATAATATATATATATATATATCTATACACATACATCACATACTTAAAAAGAAAAAAAGACTATATAAAAAAAGAAAGGAAAAAAAAAGAAACAAAGAAAAGAAGAAAAGAAAGCGACCTCGAGGATCTCCAGGGAGCTGAGCACGTGTTCGTTGTGCAGGCTCTTGACAACACCCTGAAGACTTCAGTCTCGGCACGCGTGTCGTCGAACCTTTCGCCTTCACGAAGATGGTCGCGTACTTGTCCAAGTTGCGCTGCCCCGCGGGCCACAGCCAGAACCTGAGAATCTTATCTCAGGAATCTACCTTCCTTCAGAAACCAGTGGTGTGTGCAGTGCGTTCTGCCTTTTTGGGGCTTCGGGGAAAGCAGTAACAAAAGGGCGCAAGTTCAGAAACGATCTGAAAGCTTTAGGCCAAACTGTTCCAGTGGAATCTTGAATCCAGTCGGTTCGTATCTACCTCTGTGCTACTTCTAGTCTGAGGCTTCGTCAGAACATGCAAAACAACAGCTATGTTTCAGCCATTGGCCCCAAAGCGGAAACGTAAAGAAGTCCAATTATGGAGCCAATGGGCAAGACAAACAAAAAGTAGAATAGTTCAGCCCATGGTCAAAGCAATTTACTTCCAAGGCCTAGTTTGTTTTGCTTCTTTGTTGTGTGCTTTCTTACTTCCTTACGTTTTACTGTTCTACTTTTGGTCCACTGGCTCAAGAACTGTACGCTTCTCCAGAGTTGTACCGTTATTTTTTTATTTCTTGTTTTTTTTTTTTCGTTTTCACTGTTGGATCATTGGCTCCAACATAGCTGCTGTTTTGCATCTTCTGACCAAATCTCAGCTTCAAATGGACAGATTTATGGTGTAGAGTTTGGGGTTTTATAGGAATCCGATTTACTTCTCGTAGATGTGCGCTCTATGAATTCCATTGGAAACATGTTGTTTGTGCAAATAAACTCACTGTTGTTTGCTTGCTTAGTGTTTTTGCTTGGAATTCAATTTGTTCGATAAAGATTAGCAATCAATAATCAGATAGATAGAATTATTGTCTCAAAATAGTCTTGAAAATAATTTTGAAAGGGATATGTTTTCTACTATTGTGTTTGTTCAATTGTCTCACTAGAGTTGAAGAACATTGGTCATCGGGATTCCTACTTCGTTTTATTTTAAAGAGAACGCCCTTTCCCGGGATGTTTCTCCACTGTCTGTTTAGAATCAACTGGAATCTAAAAAGGAATTTATTCCGCTAAGATTTCTAATTTTAGAGATACATTTAATAGGATATGTTTTCAATGAAGAGGAGTTCCTTGCTTCGGGTGAGCTGATGCTGGTCCAGTCGCATGGGGCAATCCAAATCAAACAACTGCATTCCATCTCTTCAACATAGCCTTCAAAAGGCAAAACAGTAGATCCATCGGGGGGGTGCATATCCGCCGACCCCTGCTCCTCAAAGGGGGAGGCGCACGGGAAGGGTGCTGCGGATGCGTTGCCACGATGATAGTTATCATCACCATTGGAGATGCAGAGGATGCTACGATGATAGTTATCAGCATCATCATCATCATCATCAGCACCACCATCATCATCATCATCATCATCATGCGTGGACATGATTATCAAGAGAACTGCTGGTGATGCTGATACGTAGTCGTCACCATGTCTTTGTATAGTATACATTTCAAGTGTGGCGTTAGAGCCCATTGGTGATGCAAAAGATGCGTGGACATGATGATGAGATTGGAGATGCAGAGGGTGCGTAGTCATCGTTATCATCATGACTGTTGGTGATGCAGAGGATGCACGATGATGGTTATCATCGATGATGATAACGGTGATGATGACGATGATCGGCGACGGCCATGATTAGAGCCGATTGGAGATGCAGAGGATGCGTAGTCATCATTATCATCATGGCTGTTGGTGATGCAGAGGATGCACGATGATGGTTATCATCGATGATGATAAGGGTGATGATGACGATGATGGGCGACGGCCATGATGACGATCCTTCTCTTTATCATCATCATCATCATCAGCACCATCATCATCATCATCATCATGCGTGGACATGATTATCAAGAGAACTGCTGGTGATGCTGATACGTAGTCGTCGCCATGTCTTTGTATAGTGTACATTTCAAGTGTGGCGTTAGAGCCCATTGGTGACGCAAAAGATGCGTGGACATGATCATGATGATGAGATTGGAGATGCAGAGGGTGCGTAGTCATCCTTATCATCTGCAGAGGATGCACGATGATGGTTATCATCGATGATGATAACGGTGATGATTACGATGATGGGCGACGGCCATGATTAGAGCCGATTGGAGATGCAGAGGGTGCGTAGTCATCATTGTCATCATGACTGTTGGTGATGAGAGGATGCACGATGATGGTTATCAGCGATGATGATAATGGTGATGATGACGATGATGGGCGATGGCTATGATGACGATCCATCATTATCATCATGACTGTTGGTGATGCAGAGGATGCACGATCATGGTTATCATCGATGATGATAACGGTGACGAGATTGGAGATGCAGAGGGCGCGTAGTCATCATTATCATCATGACTGTTGGTGATGCAGAGAATGCACGATGATGGTTATCATCGATGATGATAACGGTGATGATGACGAGGGCGACGGCTATGAACGATTCAAAAGTGCTGTTAGAGCCGATTGCAGATGCAGAGGATGTGTAGTCATCGTTATGCAGAGGATGCACGATGATGGTTATCATCAATGAGGATGCACGATGATGGTTATCATCGATGATGATAACGGTGATGATGAGATTGGAGATGCAGAGGGTGCGCAGTCATCATTATCATCATGACTGTTGGTGATGCAGAGGGTGCACGATGATGGTTATCATCGATGATGGATGATGGGCGACGGCTAGGATGACGATCCTTATCTTTTTCATGTACGATTCAACAGCGCCGTTAGAGCCGATTGGAGGTGCAGAGGATGCGTAGTCATCATGACTGTTGGTGATGCAGAGCATGCACAATGATGGTTATCATCAATGAGGATGCACGATGATGGTTATCATCGATGATGATAACGGTGATGATGAGATTGGAGATGCAGAGGGTGCGTAGTCATCATTGTCATCATGACTGTTGGTGATGCAGAGGATGCACGATGATGGTTATCATCGATGATGAGAACGGTGATGATGACGATGATGGGCGACGGCTATGATGACGATCCTTCTCTTTTTCATATACGATTCAAAAGTGCCGTTAAAGCCGATTGGAGATGCAGAGGATGCGTAATCATCATTATCATCATGACTCTTGGTGATGCAGAGGATGCGCAATGATGGTTATCATCGATGATGATAACGGTGATGCTGACGATGATGGGCGACGGCTATGTTATCTTTTTCATATACGATTCAAAAGTGCCGTTAGAGCCGGTTGGAGATGCAGAGGATGCGCAGTCATCATTATCATCATGATTGTTGGTGATGCAGAGCATGCATAATGATGGTGATCATCGATGATGATAAGCGTGATGATGACGATGATGGGCCACGGGATCCTTATCTTTTTCATACACGATTCAAAAGTCCCGTTAGAGCCGATTGGAGATGCAGAGGGTGCGTAGTCATCATTATCATGATGACTGTTGGCGATGCAGAGGATGCACGATGATGGTTATCATCGATGATGATAACGGTGATGATGACGATGATGGGCGACGGCTATGATGACGATCCTTTAATCATCATTATCATCATGACTGTTGGTGATGCAGAGGATGCACGATGATGGTTATCATCGACGATGATAACGGTGATGATGAGATTGGAGATGCAGAGGGCGCGTAGTCATCATTATCATCATCACCGATGATGGTTATCATCGATGATGATAACGGTGATGATGACGATGATGACGAGTGCCGTTAGAGCCGATTGGAGATGCAGAGGATGCGTAGTCATCGTTATCATCATAACTGTTGGTGATGCAGAGGACGCACGATGATTGTTATTATCGATGAGGATGCACGATGATGGTTATCATCGATGATGATAACGGTGATGATGAGATTGGAGATGCAGAGGGTGCGTAGTCGTGATTATCATCATGACTGTTGGTGATGCAGAGGATACACGATGATGAATATCATCGATGATGAGAACGGTGATGATGACGATGATGGGCGACGGCTATGAGGAGAATCAAGAATGCGCCCATCCAACTGAAGGGGTCGGCGGCACTGGGCGGCAGCCCTTAAATTTGTATAAATATATGTAGATTCAGGAAGCTTCCGACAAGGGCTGAACAGTCCATCTCCCATGTTGCCTGTTGTAGATCCAGGTGTAGGCCTCGTCATCGAAGATCAAAGAATCCAGCTTGGCCTCTCAAGAGATTTGATGTCAGGAAACGACCCCCTTGCGACCCCACCTGAATGATGTCTGGGTTGAGGCTGGGGTTCTGGGGCGGGCTGAAGCTGTCGGCAATGAACTCGATCTCCTGCAAGAGCCGATCCTGGACAAGGACTTTCGGACTTTCAGAGAGGGCGTGAGGTCACTCACGCCTGCGGTGCCGGTGCGGGGCACTTCAAGGCGAGGATGAAGTCCTGCCAATTCGAGATAAGAAACCAAAAGAAATCGCGGATGCTCATGCCTGCACTGTGTCCAAGAGCGGAGGCAGGTACATCCGCCTACGCCCAACTTGGTCAACTTCGCACACGTCGCACACGTCGCACACGTCGCACACGTCGCACACGTCGCACATGTCGCACATGTCGCACACGTCTTTTTCGCTTTCGTTTTCGCTTTCCCGGGTCAATCTCTAAGCTCACCGAAGGCCTTTGACTTCAAGCGGAAGCCGAAGGCCTTCTGGCCCAGGAGGCTGCGGATCTGGGGCGCAGCCGCTGCTTTCACCACCAGCGCTGGTGGAAGGTCGAAGCTTCTGTCCCTTGACCACAGGAAAGCTCCTCGAGAAAACACAATCCCCCCCTTTTCTCCTGAACACGTTTGCCGCATGTCCCACCTTTCCCACATCACATTACCCTCCCCTTCTCTCCTACTTTCTTTGCCAACTGCTCCGCCCGGGCAAAGCTCTCGTCCGCGTCCCCTGGCTGCCACTCGAATAGGACGGCCGCCGAGCAAGATGCCCGGTAGCGGCTGGACTCCCAAACCTGGGGTCTTTCAGCACCCTTTAAGCACCCTTTAAGCACCCTGCCAGACCCGTTCCCAACGTGAATCTACGTGAAGCCGGGACTGCGATGCCCCTTTAGACGAGTGTTATAAAGCAACGCAAAAGTACTAGACAAAAAATATGCCAATGGCAAAACCTGAGACGTGGAAGAAGCTCAAGTTTAGATTGCTCGGAGATGTTTGTTCGGATGCTCATTGGTTCACAATGCTCAAAGAAATGAAGATACCCAAACAAGATGTTCACCTCATGTTACTAACTCCAACAACCAACATTTGAGTATGTGAGAATCGATTCCCGAGCAATCTTGAATCGGCTGTGTTAATTTTCATGGGGTTTAAATGTTCAACCACTTCCCGAGCATCTTGAATTGGTGCTATGTGCCTTGCAAACTGTGAAAATATCGGTAAAAATTGTTTTACATACTTCCCAGAACTCTACGACATACAAAAAGGGGGAATGAGCATGCTAAAAGCCATGAATGCGTAAATACACATATGCTATATATATGTATATATATATATGCCTTTCTATGTGCATACATACAGTCTTGCTCAAGTTCCTGCATCTGGCAGGTACGTGTTTTTGCTGTCCAAAATGAGCACACGTTCCACCGCTAGAATTGTGTGGTACTTCCAGGACCAAAAGCACTTCCAGATGGGCAACAAATTTTAGGTGGGGTTATACATCAAATCTGGTGCCCTGAGTCCCAAGCCGGCCTTGTGTTGAAGCACACCGATGGATGTATTGACCAATGCATGTCCCTGGCAAATACTCCTACAACATATCCCGGAGAGCGCGCCGCAAGGGTTTTCACTGATGTATAAAATGCTGCACTAAGAGTGCAATCAGAAGGGCCCTTGAGCCAAAGTAGGGAAGTGAGATTTTGTGGGGTTTAATGACTGTAGAAACAGACACGAAACAAACACAAAACAAACACAAGTGTCTTCTGAGCACCCACATCCAATTCCTGCAAATATTCAGGATGAAACTGGCTTAGCTTGTTGGGCTGCCATTCCTCGTGTTGTGTGGGAAGGCCGCCAGATCCTTCCCAGGTGTGTAACTGCGTTCACTGCTCCGCTACCATGTTAAACTTGGAGCAACTGTGTCGCCTGAATACCTGATGTGCAAATCTGTGTGTGTGAATCAACCCGGCAGTGTAACGCCCTTTGTGCTAGCAATCGGATGTAGGCTCAAGGCCCTGGGTGTATGCGGATGTAGCCCAAAGCTGTTGACTGAGAAAGCATGTATAACAACTCTTAGACATTCAGCATTCATTCTGTTATATTTACAGATGGATGTGTTTAGTGATGGTGCCGGCCTCCAGCTGGCCCCGCACGTTGGCGGGCACGGCCGGGGCAGCGGGATGGGCGCCGGCCTCCAGGAACCGCAGGATGTTGGCGGCGCGGATGCCTCGCTTCAGGGCGCGCAGCACGGAGTCCGCGCTGAGCTGCGCCACCGCCAGGTTCGGCAGCCGGGTTTGGACCTCGCAGAAGTAGGACAGCAGCCGCAGCCGCAGCGCGCTGCGCGTGTAGCAGTACACCTTGAAGTTGCTCTCCACCACGATGCCCTCTGACTCTGATGCGCTCCGTGACAGCACCGTGCTCCAGTGCTTCTGGTACAGTGCCAGCCCGGCCGGTGTGACGGCCGCGCTGGGCGACAGCACTCCAAGCTCCAGTAGCAGCTTCACAAAGGTTTCGTCCCCCGCAAGCTCTTGTTTTCTTTCCCCCACCTTAAGCTCACCTATGGCAAAGATCTTCTGCAAAGGGCCCAAAGGATCCGCGCACTTGGCAAGGAAGGCAAGGATCAGGGTCCAGAGCTGCTGCTGGCGCTCATCCAGGATGAACTGGAAGCCTGCAGCTGTCAGCATGCCCTCCTGCCGCAATTTTAGAGCATCCGCCAAAGTCGTCAGCTGCGTGGTCTCTGAGCGCTCGCCGAGCAAGCGCTCCAGGAACACGTCCCAACAGGCGGCAGCGTGCTGCACAAGCTCTGCCTCTGAGGCGGATGCGGTCACAGTGGGAGGCGCTGTGAGCGACCGCACCAGGCAGCTCTGGAAGTCCGGGTGGAGCATCCACGCAGAGGACGGGATCAGTATCCGCAGGCGCTGCAGTACGTCGCGTGCGTCACGAGCGTCACGAGCATCCCGGGTGTCGCGCTCGGCTTTGGACCACTTCCGAAGCACAGACTCCTGGAAGGGCCGAGCCCCCCCAAAGGCCAGGCGCAGAACCAGCTGCTGCGCCACCGCTGGCACCGCCTCCCTCAGGATCACACGCACGGACGCGGGGTCCGAGTACAAAGCGTCCAGCTGCGCTGGCGACAGTTTCGCCAGAAACTCCGAGATCGTCTTCCCAGCCTCGCCCACCTCCATCCAACAGTCTAAACGCTTACCGTTTGACGGTACGGTCAGATGGGGCGTCTATGCAGCCTTCGATCGGCAAGCCATTGCCATGGCTGAAAGCCCCCAAGCAGCACTGCGGGCTGCAGCCAGGACACAGAAACCTTCACATAGCGTGACATAGCGGAAAGCAGCAAGCACAATAGCAAGCCTGAGGACAATGATGGCCCAGTGGAAGTCTTCATCCTGTGCTGTGGGAAGCAGTGGAAACACCATGAAACACCTTGCGGCTGCCTCGATGACCAGCTCCCAGCAGCTCCACAAGGCAAGGTCCTGGCTCTCTGCCATTCGCAGAACTGATATCAATTCATTTGAATTCATGTCACTTCCCACTCAGTCACTCAGTCACTCAGTCACTCAGTCACTCAGTCACTGAGTTCTGGGCATTCGCCAAGTTCCTGGGCAAACGTGGCGGACGCTGCTGCAAATCTCAGATCTCGGGGGCCGGCATCTTCTTCATGTACGGGCGGTTGTGCACCACCAGTGTGTTCCAGGACCTCGCCAATTGCCAAGACTGCGTGAGGGACACACAAAAAAAACAACGGCGCCCGGTGTTCAAGCCCTGTGCCCTATGGCCCAGACTTCAGCAGTGCTTGCTTGCACTCCAGCGCCACCCAGCGCACGTGCTCCCGGCCCATGCGACGCAGCTCCGTGATAGGCATCCTGGGCAAATCGCGTGGCATGCCTCTGCGAATTCAAGAAAAACGTCCATTGACTCCTTTTTTGTTTTTATCTCCTTTCCGAATTTCCCCATTCGGGGCCTCAAACCCCCCCGCTCTGCTTCCCCTTCTTTGGGAGCCGCGCGGGTCGACCACGTTCACCAGCAGCTCGCCATGGCCTCGAGCGTTGCGCCCGCTCTGCACCGCTCTGCACGGCTCTGCACCGCTCACCGACCGCCGAACGCTCACGGTGGCCTTGACGGCCCCCAAACCATGACCTGACTTTCTCACAGATATCACAGATACACCCTCGTGGAAAAATGCAACCTGTGCGACTAGGTTCCATGGATTCACTTGAAGGCGACGGGCCTGCCTCTCTCCCGTCAGCTTCCCTACCGGAATGGAGAAGTGTCCAGTTTGGGCCTGAAAAAGGCATGATAGGCACTCGACATGTGCAAAAAGTGCCTGGCCTTGGACACTGCATTTGCCACATCCTTGAAGTCTTTCCTGGCCAGGCCGGATTCGAAACTCTGGGCGGCCAATTTTGCCAGTCCTGATGAAGAAGCTGTAGTTCTGGAAGGTGACACACTTGAAGCCGTTTGGCGGGGCGATGCCTGCAATCAATGCATGGTCGGCCAGACGGGCTCGACGGGCTCGGGCTCGGGCTCGGACCAACAGCCCAATCCATGGCTCCGCTGAGGCGCGCGCAGTTGGGTGCAGGGCTGGTGCCCAGGTCATATTTCTCCGTAGGCAGCGACTGCAAAGTGCCCAAACGGTGCAGGCTGTCCTGAGACCGGCATTGACCAAAGCTGAAAAGGCCAAGGACTGCAAGGACTGCAAGGAGTGCAAGGAGTGCAAGGACTGCAAGGAGTGAGAGATCGAAACACTGCCCTGAGTTTCCAGCCGCCACGAAGTTCGCAGAGATCAGCGACACCAGCTGGTCTCGCATGTCGGACTCCACCGTAAAAGACGAGCCCTGGGCAAGAAGCAAAACATTAAAAAGACAAAAAGCAAAATGTGTGAGTTTGCCAGCACTGCCTTGGGTCGGGTGTCCTGGAGGGTGACCACTAATTTGGTCCTGCCAAGCTAGGGAACAAACCTTAAGGGGGACGGGTGAGGAACACGCCAGGCCTGCTGCTGGTGTCTATCAGGAGCGTTTTGATCCAAGCATACTCAATCTGGCCATCCTTTTCTTTGCTGGACCTCGCAACATCGAGTCTATGCAACATCGAGTCTATGCCCGAGGAGCCAGCAGACTGCTCGAAAGCAAGCAGATAGAAGACCTCAGCTTGCAACAAACAAACCAAAGCTTCAAGCCACAGACCTCAGCTAACTCCATGGGCCCTCCATGGGCCCAACTGACCCACACAGACATAGGCTTTCTTTGAAGGACCATACTTCGGACCTCGTCTCAGGAAGCGAATCTCAGAATCTCAGGCCTTCGGAACTCGTCTCTTGCCTGCGCTCTTTGCATCTTCCAAAGCACCCGGATCCACTTCTGTCTCCTGGTGAGCGCAACTTGGCCGTGGGGAAACCTATCTGGCAGAAGATCCCTGGCAGAGTCCTCAAATTGCACGGTCACCAAGTCAACATAGAGGACTTTCACACCACAACGCTTCCCACAAGCCTCAGGGTGTCAGAAGGCCAAAGATTAATGAGACACAACCCCAGACCTCCAAGACCTGAGGATCGAAGGACATCGCACTTAATGTCCATCAGAATCCACCTTGGGTCCCGCCATCGCACGGTCGTGTTGTTTGTCTTTCTCGTAACACGCGCACTTTGCATATCCATGACGATTTCCCACATTAGTGCTATTTGCGATTGTCGTGCTGCGCATGATTGTTGGCAACAGGTCTGCGTGATGTGAAATGAAATTGCTAACTGCTGTCCTACCGCCCTGAGGAGCCACGAATAGGAATCAATGGCCAACCAAAAGAAAAATTCGCCCGCCGCAAAATCAACTTTCCATGTAGATGCACAACTAGTCCCGCAAAGCGTGTTCAACTGGTGCAACATCCAAAAAGAACACATAGATGTGCAGCACATAATGTTTCTGCCCTTCTGAGTTCAGGAATAACATTTTTCTGGGTAAATTGCATGAAAGGAATGTTGATGTGTAGAATGTACCTTGCCCATGGCCGGGATAATGGGGGCTGCCATGAACACAACTTTTTGCACCCTGCTGGGCACAACTGTTGGCGCATTGCTCCAGCTTCCCAAGAATAGCCGCGGCTTAGACAAGTTGATTTCTTGAAAATATGCAGCCGGTTGGGTGCCGGCTTGCATCGAGGGGTTTGCAATAGCATGAAAAACCATGGGTTGTGCAGCCTAGCGAAATTTTCGAACAGAAGTGTTTCATGTTTTCGTTTGGTGGGTTTTGTGGGGTTATGCTGACAATCATGTCCGTGAAATGCAATTTGTTCCTCGCAACTCATTTTGCTGACCTGTTTGCTGGTTGGCTGCAATTTCCTTGTGTGCTTATATATGTGGGTCAAGGAGCCTGGGCCTAAGCATCCTACGCCGTACGGGTTCTTTGCCTGTCAAAACGGCAAGGCGTTCGTGCCAAACGCGAAGCGGGATAGATTTTGCCCGCCTGCTTCAAAATTATACTTGTAACAGCTTCAAAACGTTTTGGTGGGTAATAATTGAATCTATTTACCAAGTTTATTTACATTTTCTGGCATTGTTATTTTTGGCGCAGAATATTCAAATTTACTAATGAAGTTAAGCTTTCCGCTACGATTTTAAATACTACTGTCACAAAACTGCGAATGGCATTCTTTACAAAGAAAACTCTCTGCAAACAAAAATTATACGTAGTAGAATTTATTGAAAAGCATTAAATAAATGTCCGCCTTTTGTCTCACAAATCGATTTTTTGGTTTAGTGTATCATTTCAATTCATTTTTTCTTTCTGCTAGTTTATTTCAAAATAGATTGTATGCATTAATTATATTAATTAAATTACTCTATTAAATGATTTGAAAAATTTGTTATATTAATCATTTTTAAGGCGTTATGAAAAATAGGCGTGAATTGAAGTGTCGAGATGTATGAAGTAACCGGGGGTAAAAGATGAATTTTGATGCAAAGAATAATCAAAAACCAAACATACACCAACAAACCTTGCTCATTTCTATATTAGGCATCTCATGCAAGTTTAAATAAAAGAAATTATAAGAATGTACCTTCATTTCATCAAAACCCTCACTTAGGGTTCAGGTTTTGGGTTTCACTGGCCCTCGTTCAAGGTTCAAGTTTAACTTGCCCTCAAACCCCCCGTTTAAGGTTTGTTTTGGTTAACTTGCCCTCAAACCCTCACTTTATGGTTCAAGTTTTGGGTTTCAGGTCTAGGGTTCGGGTTTAGGGGTTTTCCAGGATTCCAGGTCCAAGATCACGAGTGTTTTTGGGGATTCCTTCTGCCGCGTTGCAGTGCCGGGGGAGTCTGGCATTCTCGATCCTGCAACTCTGGTTGCTCTCCCTCCGCTGTATCGCGGGCATACTCGGTGGGAGGTTTGTCGCGAACTGTTGGCTGCGTGGGTCAGTGTTTACCTGTCCCCGGCGCGCCTCAATATTAAGTCCATTCTAAATCAAAACGTGCATCCGCAGGTCGCAGCACATCTCTACACACAGAGGCATGAGGCATTATACCTCGTACCACAACAGAGCCATCGGAGAGGCCAGCTGCCGCATTTCCGCATCGCGCAGCTGTCATCCATAGAAATGGGTTGGCCGAAGAAATCCATAGCAGTGCATGATCATAAGCCATCCGTATACACCGGCAAAGAAAATGGCGAGCAATATGTACGCAAGAATAACCATTCCAGATACCCTGAAAATATAAGGAGATGAAATCATCCATGAGGTAATAGTGCCCATTCATGAATATCCGGAACGCCATAGCCGTCGGAATATGTAAATACATACATAAACATGGTCCTTGGACAAATGAATCACATCATACCGTAATTCATTCCATCGTAGTGAAATCAGTATGTTGCTGGCGATGCATGGGGTCTGGCCCGCACCGATGATCTACCTCATAGTAGAGTCAACATATTGCTGGCGATGGATGGTCTAGCCGGCGCCATGCCGTAAATGCAATGTTGATTCACTTTTGCATCACACAGTTCGGTCCACAATGGCCATCTTTGTGATACGTCGACGGAATTCCTCGTCCAAGTTGTGTTGGGCGTCTCGTGCTCGGGCATACTTCTTGTAGCGCTTGTCCGCAAGCCAATGTCCCTGCCGGACGCACCAATCGAGCAAAGGTCCGTCACATTTGCCCGGGTCTGTGGCCGCAATAACAGCGCTCACTTTGACCACATATCCATGTCTACCAAGGTTTAGCCCGGAAAGATATGTACTTGCAGTTGAACGTGAGAGAGAAGCACCTGTAAACGATGTCCCCCACTGGGTGCCTGCGTTCGCTGACCAATAGTTTCATTTCTTCCTTGGTGATGTCGAGGATCCTTGCTGCAATCCACAATTTGTAGAAGATATACAGCCCTTCACGTTTGAGCGCCAAATAACGAATGTGTTGGTTGCGCTCCTCGACCGTCCTGAAGGCCCTTGTTCGAACATTCTGAGATTGAGAAGCTTTATGTTCTGTAGACGGTAATACAACACCATCCCGATCAAACTCAGTGATGTTGGGGTAGCGTCCCAAGTCCCCTCAAACACCCCCCACAACCTTGACATTCGCAGCGCAATGAACCCTGCCATGCGTTGAGCCTCGCGTGGCTCATCCATGCAGATTGCCATCCTTTGGGAGTTGATGATATCTCGCGCGGCCATGTCATTGCCGCGGTAATCCCATTCATTGCCCTCCTCTTCGGACACGTTGCCGGATGTGCACCCCTGTGTGCCCATATCGTCATCCTCGGGATCATCTTCCATTCCACCATCCTTTTCCTATGCTGCCGCATTGTCGTTCGCTTCCTCCTGCGCCCGCCTGGCATCTCCGGACACGTTGGGTTCATGAGCATCATCATCGTCGCCGGGGCTGACGTTGATGCAGAATCTTCCAGTAGAGATCAACTGCGCTTCGCACTCCAGGCATATACAGAAGCATGTAGGGATTGCAGTTGCACAAGACGGACAAATTCGGCATCTGAGGCCTTCCCAAGTCTTGTCATTCAGGATGATTGTTTTTCTGATCTCATCTCTGATCTCGTTGGTCAGAGTTCCCAACTCTTGATGTTGGCCGCCCCGAAACAGCGTGCAAGCACGATCCACCATCTCTTGAACGTAGTGCAGATTGTCGGCGCCCGCCTCCGTTTCCGGCGATCCCTCGATGACCTTTGCAACGTTCTGAAGGAACATCAAGGCCGACTCTTGGGATGAGCCAACGAAACCAGGACAGATCTCACTCTCGACGCATTTCGCCTTCGTTGCACTTGCCGATCCAAATGGACTTGACTTCATAGAACGGGATAACATCGAAGACCATAAACGTCCCGTTGAACGCAACTCCAGCTCCGTCCCGTGCAAGAGTTGCACTGGGAATGTAGATGATTGCGATCGGATCCCCAACCCGCAGGTTGCGAAGCGTCGTCTTCGTCGCCAAGTTCATCTTGTCCCAAGGAGCGAATGCCCCGAAGTGCAACGCCAATCTGTTCCCGCCACCGAACTAGCCCGCAACGTACGATGCTTGGCAGGTTTTCCACATACGTCACATGGAATGCTCCTCCAAAAAAAGTCACCCATCCTTGCGGAATACCTGTTCGCCAGTGCGGATGAGCTCATGAATCCAAAGTCGCTGTGACCAGTTGTGGCCCGAATACACCAAGGTCTGCACCATCCATCGCATCTGCCAAATACTACGTCGATCTCACCCTCCTCGCTGCTAGGATCTGAAATCTCGATTTCTTGTCTCCAGATTCCTGCCACTGGGTCACCTCCATGATGCCCATGTAGCGTCTCGCTTTCGAAGTCTTCGGTGGGAATATGTTCACCTCACGGTCGTCGATGATTGCGTCTTTATCGACCCACCCACCTTCATCACACAGCACTTCCTCGGCAATTGCCGATCTTGTGTCGAAGGATTCTGCAAAGGTCGTGAGATGCTTGCTCTTTCGCCCCGAACACAGAAGCACATCAAACCAATCAAAACATCTTCTGCGGCCGCGTTGTTGATGGCATGCAAAATGTCAATTTGACAAAATCTCAAACAAGGACATATAACTGACCGTCGGCCAACTATTGCTGAAGATGTCGTGTCAGCTCAAGCCAGGCAGGGGCCAAAACATAGATCCTTTTTCAGAAACTTGACCGCTTCAGACTTGCCGTGATGCAAACCTGCCCTATCTTTCCATGAGAGAAGACAACGTTTTTTAGCAAAACTGCGCTTGACATTGCAATGCGGAAATTTTTGCAAAAACATGAACATTGCAGTTTGCAATCGCCATATTGCAGTTTGCACTCGCTATATTGCAGTTTGACAGCCTGCGTCTGCGTGTCCTGCGCCGTTCCTGTTCGGTAGTCTCCCAACAGCGCGTCCACTTGTGAGGAGGTGGAGTAGGCCAGCAGCGCAGCCGCGAGGGCCGCGTCCGCCGCCGCGACGGAGTGGCAGTCGGCCGTGATGCTCAGCGTGTCGTCGCCGTTGGCCAGCGCAGCAGAGAGAGGTGCCTCCAGACGCAGGTTGCGAACGACGTTGCTTCCGCGAACGAGCTCCCAAGTTGCGAAGCCCGCCCAGGCCGGCGCGTTAGCAACTCCGCCGCTGCCGGAAAGCTGCAGGGCGGCAAGCTCCGCGAGGATTGCG